GAGCGCGTGCACTTAACCGCTAAGCCATGGGGCCGGCCCAGTTGTTCAGTTTAGATATTGTTTTTTCCCCCAGCAAAACTGGTAAGAAAAAAAAATCAACATGTATTTTCAAGTTTTGGTAAAAAATGCTTTTAAAGCTAGTAGCTCTTAAAGATGTGCCAGGCATCCTGTGACTCAGCATCATCCGTCATAACAGATAGTTTATTGTTAGATATCATAGTTGACGTTGATCTCCTAACGCAGATTCAGACTAAACCTGAGGGAGGCAGGGAGTGGAGGGGACACCACGAGCTTTGATTGGGAACGAGGGGTTGAGGCATTTTAAGATCTGCTAATGTAGTCGTGTGTCTATATATCTATGTTTTGAATTTTCTCATTTTTTTCTAATGAGTGTGGATTTTTTTTAATTAATAGACTTTATTTTTCAGAGCAGTTTTAGGTTTATAGAAAATTGAGCAGATGGTACACTTCCCTACGCAGCCCACCCCACCCAGTTTCCCTTATTACTAACATCTTGCATTAGTGTGGTATATTTGTTGTAATTGATGAGCCAATGTTGATACGTTGTTATTATGATTATTATTATTTTTGTGTGTGTGTGAGGAAGATCAGCCCTGAACTAGCATCTACTAATCCTCCTCTTTTTGCTGAGGAAGACTGGCCCTAGGCTAACATCTGTGCCCATCTTCCTCCACTTTATATGGGACGCCGCCACAGCATGGCCTGACAAGGGGTGCATCGGTGCACGCCCGGGATCTGAACCTGGGCCACCGCAGCAGAGCGCGCGCACTTAACCACTATGCCACGGGGCTGGCCCCGATATGTTATTATTAATTGGAACCCATAGTTTACATTAGGGTCCTCCCTTTGTGTTTTACAGTTCTCCGGGTTTTGAGAAATGCATAGTGTTATGTAGTCAGCATACGCTCTCATATAGAATAGTTTCAACTCCCTCAAATGCCCTATGCTTTCCCTGCTCATCTCTCCCTCCCCCGAGACCCTAGCAACCACTGGTCTTTTTACTGTCTCTGTGGTTTTGCCTCTTCTTTTTTTTGTGTGTGTGAGGAAGATCAGCCCTGAGTTAACATCCGTGCTCATCCTCCTCTCTTTGCTGAGGAAGACCGGCTCTGAACTAACATCTATTGCCAATCCTCCTCCTTTCCGCCCCGCCCCCAAAGCCACAGTAGATGGTTGTATGTCATAGTTGCACATCCTTCTAGTTGCTGTATGTGGGACGCGGCCTCAGCATGGCCAGAGAAGCGGTGCATCGGTGTGCGCCTGGGATCTGAACCCCGGGCCGCCAGTAGCGGAGCGCGAGCACTTAACCGCTAAGTCACGGGGCCGGCCCGTGTAGTTTTGCCTTTTCCAGAACATCGTATAGCTGGACTCATGCAGTATGTAGCTTTTTCAAATTGGCTTCTTTCACTTAGCAGTATGTGTTTATGGTTCCTCCGTGTCTTTTCATGGCTCTGTAGCTCATTTCTTTTAATTGCTGATAATACTCCATCGTCTGGATGTACCACAGTTTGTGTATCCATTCACCTACTGAAGAACCTCTTGGTGGCTTCCATTTATATATGTTATATATCTCTCTTTCTCTCCAGTGTCTCTTGGCATTAGCGTACTTTGGAAAGCATCATTTAAAATGGCTTGGGCTGGCCCCGTGGCTTAGAGGTTAAGTGCACGTGCTCTGCTACTGGCGGCCCGGGTTCGGATCCCGGGCGCGCACCGGCGCACCGCTTGTCCCGCCATGCTGAGGCCGCGTCCCACATACAGCAACTAGAAGGATGTGCAGCTATGACATACAACTATCTGCTGGGGCTTTGGGGGAAAAAAGAAGGAGGATTGGCAATAGATGTTAGCTCAGAGCCGATCTTCCTCAGCAAAAAGAGGAGGATTAGCACAAATGTTAGCTGAGGGCTGATCTTCCTCACAAAAAAATTAAAAAATAAATAAAATAAAGTAAAATGGCTTTCTAGTGTGGTTGCTAAGTAGATCATTAATTGAATGCCAAGGCCCCAGGAAAATTTTGGCCAAGGAGCTCTTGCCTACCAGGCTCCCTGCCCACATGAGATTGCTCTATATCCCTGGGAAGTACCCCCCTCTCTCCCCTCCCCGCTTCTTTAGGGAGCGTGAGGTCTGTGTTTCTCAATTTTCTTTCAAGCTGTGCCCCTTTCTGAAGCACAGAAACATCTGGGCTTTCTGCCCAGATCTCACTCAGGTGGGAACCAGGCCCAGGAACAGCAGAGACACCCAGGCAGATGGCTCAGTTCAGGGAACAGTGGGGATCTCGGTGGTCTGGCCCAAGGCCCCAGGGCTGGCTTAGCCTCCTCTCCCCCTCAGTCCCACCAGCAGTACCCTCCGTCACACAATGCGCCGTTGCCCAAGAAGGCCTACTCCAAGATGGACAGCAAAGGCTACGGCATGTACGAAGACTACGAGAACGAGCAGTACGGGGAGTATGAGGGCGACGAGGAGGAGGACATGGGCAAGGAGGACTACGATGACTTCACCAAAGAGCTGAACCAGTACCGGCGCGCCAAGGAGGGCAGCAGCCGGGCCCGAGGTGAGACCCCTGCAGCAGCTTCTCCAGGGCGCCGGTGCGGGGGGCTGCGGGTGTGGTGCAGGGCGAGACAGACCTGGTCGGCCCGGTGCTCACGGAGCCTTAAGTCCCGGAGAAGAGACAGGCAGTCATTTAGGGCTGAGATGAGCATAGAAGGAGAAGGGCTGGGAGCTGCACAGACAGGGCATGGGGATCCAGTTAGCCACGTGAGGAGAGGGCCAGTGCTGAGGCCGGGGCTGGGATCGAGCCAGGCCCGTGTGGCTGGAGGGTGGTTTTCGTAGATTCACTTCCTGGTCAGCCATGAGGAGAGAGAAGGGACAGCTTCTCTCCCATCTGGGCCAGGGTAACTGACAGCTGGCTGCCCTAGCCCTCAGTAGCCTCCTCCTCCATCCTCCCGGCTCCTGTCACCTGACAAGGTGTGACTGCAGCCCGTGGGACTGCCACACCTCTGAACCTTGAACCTGTGGCAGTTAGGAGGATGGTGGGGGAGGGCAGAACGCCAGAAACCCAGCCTGGCCTTTTAGAACCATCTCCTGTCAGCGAGATTTCCCAGCCCAGGAGGGCTTCCAGAATCTTCCAACTCAGCAGTTCTTAGCCCTGCCTACTGCCGAGCTTGTTGTTTGAGTGGCAGTTCATTCATTATTTCTTTCAGCAGTCTTTCTTGGACACCGCCTTAGACAGGCCCTGCTCTTTGGGAGATTCTAGACCAGCGCTGTCCAGTAGAAATATAATGGAAGCCCCATGTCATTTAAAATTTCTGGTAGTCACATTAAAGAAGTAAAAGGAAACAGATGAAATTGATTTTAACAATATATTTTATCACCCTAATACATTCAAAATCTTATTTCAACATGTAATCAAAATAGACAGAAGTGGTATTTTATATTCTCTCTCTCTTTTTTTTTTACTAAATCTCTGAAATCCAGGGAGTGCTTTACACTCACGACGTCTCTTAGTTGGCTCAGCCACGTCTCAGGTGCTCAGTGGCCACGTGGTGGGTGGCCACCCTAGTGGACAGTGCAGTTGTCGCTGTAGTGAGTGCTATAGCAGGCGTGTGTCCACGGTGCTGAGACTCCCCCATCAAGGGGCCCAGGGGACCGTCAGTCTCCCTGGAGCAGCTGGGAAGGCTTCTTGGAAGAGGAGGAGGAGGAATGATTGTCCTCAGGGGCAAACAATGGGTTGCCTTCTCCCTTGCTGGTGGGTTCTGCTCCTGCTTGGTGCTCACTGTCTGAATCACTGTGCAGGCAGCCGAGGCCGCGGCAGGGGCTACCGGGGCCGAGGAAGTCGAGGAGGGTCTCGAGGCCGAGGCATGGGCAGGGGCAGCCGAGGCAGGGGCAGAGGCTCCGTGGGAGGAGACCACCCGGAGGACGAAGAGGACTTCTATGAGGAGGAGATGGAAGTAAGGTTTTCTGCAGCCTGGGAGCGGGGCAGTGTGGCTGGGGGGCTGCAAGTGCTGTTGGGGGCAGCCTAGAAGACTCAGGTGGAAAGATCATCAGATGGCAGGTTTCTGTGTTTGAAAATGTTCACTTATTATTTTGGAATAGAGAAAACCTTTACATGGTTCAAAATTGGAAAGGTACCAAAGGGTGAGCTGTGAAAAACATCTTCCTCCCCCTACTGCAGTCCCAACGCCTTAGTTCCCGTCCCTGGAGATGAAGTTCCTTAGTGTGCTCCAGAAATGTCTTATGCCTTTGCAGTCAGGTGCTCACTCAGCCCTTAACACACACACACACGTGCGCGCACACACACACACACACACACGGAGGAGAGCTACTGCACTCACTGTTCTGTCCCTGCCCGAGACCTTTCCATGCCCTTCTTTGTCTTAGCCGCACAGCTGTCCACTGTGTACAGAGGTGTCCTAACGGATTGGCCCAGTGGGGCGGGAGTTTTAGGAGTGGAGACTGCGAGGGAAAGGATTGGGACCCTCCGTGTAGGCTGTGGTGTGTAGAGAGCCAGCACGGGGGAGCCCCTGGGTCCCTCACCTGCCCTTCCAGGTCTGATGATGTCCTGAGTGTACAAAAACGGAGAAGGGGGCAGAGTGTGTGGTTAGGGACAGTGTTCATTGTCCCCCACGCGGCACTTCCCTGCTCTCCCTCTCTGGAATTCCAGTATGGAGAAAGTGAGGAGCCAATGGGAGACGAGGACTACGACGAATATTCCAAGGAGCTGAACCAGTACCGCCGGTCCAAGGATGGCCGAGGACGAGGTGGGTAGGGGGCCCAGGAGTCAGTGGGGCTCCTGGTGGCTGCTGGATCCGGGTCCCGAGGAGAGGCAGCGGGTGAACGTCGTTTCTCTCCTCTGCAGGGTTAAGTCGAGGCCGGGGCCGGGGTTCCCGAGGTCGAGGGAAAGGGATGGGCCGGGGCCGTGGTCGAGGCGGCAGCCGTGGAGGGATGAACAAGGGCGGCATGAACGATGACGAAGACTTCTATGACGACGACATGGGCGTGAGTCAGCTCTGTATTCGGATCTGATGTTTCTAGTCGGTGCTCCTCCTTGAAAATTTCTTTTCTTTAATGAGTTGTCCTCTGGGGCTGATCCTATCCCCCTGCTCCCATCAGCCATTCCCTTTGGGCCGATCAGCGCTAATCATCTCTCATGGGGAATACACTGCTGGTGAGACCCTCTGTTTCTAAAACCACGTCTGTGTAGTGCCTGCAGTCACCCGTAATGAGTCTCTGAGGTTCGGAAGGTTCTACGTGGCCCATCCAGTTAGCTCTGGAGAGTTTTACAGGAAGGCGCATGTCACCTCCTCCGGGAGTGGATGTGTCCCTGCACAGGTGTGTGGGGTTCAAGTCTTCAGCTGCCAACAGCTCCAAGTGCCAGAGCCTTTCCCATCCAGTACTGCGGAGTGTGTAGGCTCAGACCCACACAGCCTCGGTGATGGATGTAACCTGCCAGTCAATGCTGCTGTTACACGAAGACACTTCTGTTGAGGGAATGCTCATCCCATAGGCCAACTCCTATTACTCTCCTCACTCAGAGCCTGCCTCACCCTGGCCCGCATGGGCCCACCTCCCCCTTCCTTTTCCTTCCACTTTACATTCACACTCTGCGTTCCTAACAGGACGGCGGCGGAAGCTACCGGAGGAGTGACCATGACAAGTTCCACCAGCAGTCTGACAAGAAAGGCAAAGCCATCTGCAAATACTTCGTGGAAGGGCGGTGCACGTGGGTAAGGGGCCAGTTAAAGTACCTGGGTGTCTGGAGCAGGGCAGCAACCCCACAGAAGACACACGGGCCTCTGGGAATGTCCCAGAGGCCACACTCACTGGGGGCAGTGCTCAGGAGGGGTTGGTGCAATTGAGAGATGCCCGAAGGCCTGGAAACTTCAGTTCCCTCTGCAGAGTGGGGAGCCAGAGCAGGATGACACAGCTGGGGTTTTTTGATTTCGGGGGGATTTTTTGGCCAAAATTTTCAACCAATCCATATGGCCTCAAATGTATTATAGGACTGATGCTAATGCAAGTCTGTTATATATCCTGGTTAAGTTACTGAATCTGAGTGTTGGAGAGGGAATTACTAAGGCATCCAGAGAGAAAAGATGGGGGGGATCAGACCAGCCTTGAACTTCACAGTAGAGTGTAATGCCAGAACGTGGACCAGTGACCACAGAGTTCTGAAGGAAACAAGTGTAATCAGTGTGAGTTCAACCCCCCACCTTTTTATTCAAATACAAAGGGAGTGGGCAGATACTGGCAGACATGTGCCCAGGGAATCTGTCTTAGAAAAAATATTATTGTATTTCAAACAAATGTACATGTGTGCAAGAAATATTCCCTATGATAGTTACAATTCATATTTTTAGAAACTTGAAATAGATATAAGGAAAAAAAAAAAAAATGAGTAGCCATTCCTAAGAGATCAGGGAAACGGGTATAGAGCAGTTTCTCTCTTCAGTTCACCTTGATGTTGTTTTGTTTGGATTGTGTTTGACTGCAGATCATGGAAAACTCAACTCCATTGGCTTAAACACATCGGCATTTGTCTCAGAACAAGCAGTCTGGGGCTGGGTGGGCAGTAGAGGGCTGGGGCAGTGGGCAGGGGCACCCTGGGGGACCCATGTTCCTTCCTACTTTTTATTCTGCCATCTTTAAGCGTGTGGTTTTTGTCCTCATGGTTGCTTAGTGGCTGCTGTGCCTCTGGACATCACATCTAAGGTCTAGGAGGAAGAAAAATGGGGATTTTTTTAAAAAATTGAAGAGTGTTGACCTCCCTGGAGACTTTTTTGTGTATCTCGTTGGCCAGAACTGCAAAGGAGGCTGGGAAATGGCGTATTTTTAGCTGGGCACATTCTTCCCCAAACAAAATTGGGGTTCTGTTAGGGAGGAAGAAGCCTGGAACTGGACACTGGGTGTCATGCAGCAAACAGTGAAGAACAGTGAGTAGGAGAGGAGAGGAGAGGAGGGAAGGGAAGAGAAGAGGAGGAGGCAGTAGAAAGAAGCCATCAAAGGCAGAGGAATGGGGACGTGGAGGAGGTAGGCGGGGGCCCGAGAGAAAGGAGCGCACGCTTTGTGGGAACGGTAAAGGTGGTGGGAGAGCGCGTTTATGAGCCTGCCCTTTCCCGGGGCGGGGATTAGTTTTGTCCTCGGCCCCTCTGTGCTTTGCAGTGACAGAGCAGTCTTCCCCTTTCGGGCGGGAGTCAGCTTTAGGGCGCCACCACTGACCTTTTTGTTCTTCTCTTCCAGGGAGACCACTGTAACTTTAGCCATGACATCGAGCTACCAAAGAAGCGAGAGCTGTGCAAGTTTTACATCACCGGGTTCTGTGCCAGAGCAGAGAACTGCCCCTATATGCACGATATCCTTTGGTGCCCACGTCTGATCTGACCGAGGGTGCGGAACTCGCTCCTTGTTGGTCATGGCAGCCTCCCCGCACTGCGCTGTCTTGTTCTCCGTGCAGCGCTGTGCTGAGAGCTCCCTGTGCATCTCCATCTCATTTTTCGCCTCTGCCCTGTGATGGGTCTGCTTTTCCCCTTCTGCAGATGAGTAAAGTGAGGCATGCATGCTCTGTGTTCTCTTTACATACTCTCGAGACTGGCCTATGTCATTGCTTGTTATCTTTCTGAGACTTTTCCAAATGGCTGTGTCACCCTGGGCGAGTCACTGAACTTCCCTACTCCCGCTGAGTGGGGATCTGAGGACACAGCCCCGAGGCCAGCATGGTGGGGTAGGAAGCACTCTGGAGCAGGAGTCTCGAGAACTGGGGTCTCATCTTGGCCCTGTTGCCAACCCGCTGTGCAGCCCTGAGCAAGTCATTCCACCTCTCTGGGCTTCAGTTTTCTCCTCTCCAAAATAAAGGGGGTTGGGTTCTGCCCTCGAGTGGGTTCCAGGAGATGAAGCATTTGCCTTAATTTGCCATGCACGTGATTTTCCGTGTAAGTTGTACCACACCACTGGGAACTGCATCAATGGCGACGACTGCATGTTCTCCCACGACCCTCTGACTGAAGAGACGAGAGAGCTCTTGGACAAGGTAACGTCCAGGGCTGATGTTGGGGGCCACGGCTACCGGGCGCCAGGAGGTGCGTCTTCCATTGACGTGGCTCCACAGCCATCCCCTCTGGCCTCTGTGCAGCACCAGAATTCCCAGTTGCATTGATCTGGAGCTGGGCTGTTTTAAGGAGGAAGTGGGAACTGTGTTCTTGTCTGCAGGGAGAATAGAGGTGGCTACACATGTGTCTTATCTCCAGCCAGGGCAGTTGACACTGGGGGGCGGCTGCATATAAGGAATGTTGCCTGGTGCGTCTCTGGACATTCCTTGTGATTTCTTAGCTATCCTTTAGAGAGAGCCCGCGATGCACCGAGAGGAGGTGAGACTTGGGCTGGGTGATCTTTCGCTGGAGGTGTCAGATGTTTCCCTTTAAGTCTTAAGGTAAAGTCTTAAGGCAGTAAAAAAAAGGACGGGGAATTGGAGGTTCTCAGGAGGGGAGCCTCCTCGGGTGAGGTGTCTGGGCTTCCTCACCAGCCAGGTGACCTCTGAAACTCACCCTAGGATCTGTTGTTCTCCCTGAGGAGTTGGGGGGACTTCGGGGCCCCGGTTTCTGCCCTTGGTCCCCTCACACACAAGGGGGTGGGCGCGAGAACACAATTCCCTTCAGGTGAAGGCTTGCCTGCCTTCTAGTTTGCAGAAGGTTTGAGAAGACTGGCAGTTTTTGGAGAATGGAAGGGATCCAGTCCATCAGGGCATCAGCCAGCTTCAGGAGTCCGTCCTCCGGGGACTGCCGTTTTTAAGTGGTGGCCGGGCTGCCCGAGGATGAGGGGAGCGCCACACAAGCCAAGTGAGAGAGCGTCCGCTGCTCGTTGGCAGAGCACTCGGGGACAAAGTTCTCATCTTGCCAGGCCCTTTGGGGCGCCTGCTGCCCTAGGAGTGGGGTTTTATAATCAGTAGATGACTAGAGTCTGTGGGTATCCCACAGAGTAAGTTGTGGGAGAAGTAAAGGCGGCCTCGTGTTTCATTTGAAGGACTGAACAATCTCTGACCGAGGACTGCCCCCTGCTGGAGGTTCAAAGTTCGCACTCTAGACCTGTGCCGTCTAGCAGCAACACAGCAGAACTACGTATTTAAATTTTCTAGGAGCCATGTTAATTTTTTTAAAATTTTATTTATTTTATTTTTTTCCCCCAAAGCCCCAGTAGATAGTTGTATGTCATAACTGCACATCCTTCTAGTTGCTGTGTGTGGGACGCGGCCTCAGCATGGCCAGAGAAGCGGTACGTGGGTGCGCGCCCAGGATCCGAACCTGGGCCGCCAGCAGCGGAGCACGCGCACGTTTTTAACCGCTAAGCCACGGGGCCAGCCCACTAGTAGCTATGTTAAAAAAATAAAAAGAAACAGATGAAATTAATTTTAACAATATTTCTTATTTAAGCCAGTAAATCCATGTCCAAAATATCATTTTGGCAAGTAATAAATAATGAAATGAGACTTTTATTTTTCTGGTGCTGTGTCTTTGGAATCTGGTGCTTATTTTCTACTTACAGCCCATCTTACTCTGGACTGGCTACATTTCAAGCCTCAGTAGCTACACGTGGCCAGTGACCACCATATTGGACAGCACAGCTCTAGGCGCCCTAATAAAAACCCAGGGCAAACCAGGGTGGCACATTTCAGCTTCTGGTCATAAAGGTTTTGGAAATACCAATATCATCCCTTTTTTTGGTGAGGAAGATCAGCCCTGAGCTAACATCTGTGCCAATCCTCCTCTTTTTGCAGAGGAAGACTGGTCTTGGGCTAACATCCGTGCCCATCTTCCTCTACTTTATATGGGACGCCGCCACAGCATGGCTTGACAATCGGTGCATGGGTGTGCACCCGGGATCTGAACCCGGGGCACCAGCAGTGGAGCGCGCACACTCAACCACTCCACCACGGGTCCGGCCCCTCATCTCCTATCTAAAGTCAAGTCTCAGTAGGTTAAAAATGAGTGTTGAACCTGGAAAAACTATTCTGGAATTGAATCTGGGCGGTCAGAGAGTAAAACTTACAAAAAGCCTTTGGGAGGGACCTGGATAGACCCTGGTGGAGACATCGGGTCAGCCGTTTCCCTCTCGCCTGGGCAGAGTTGGGGCTTGGTCAACCAGGGCTGGCGCCTGGGCTCCGGGCAGCTGGGTCCAAGCTGAGGTGCCGCTTAGAACTCGGCCTTAGCCACTGTCTCCTGAAACGCCTGTGCTCTTTATCCTTCCTCCCTTTTCTTCAGCTTTATTTTTCCACTTCTCAGTGGCGTTTCTGTCTGTCCAGACACGTCAATTTCCAGCCATCCACTCCGGGTTTGGAAATGTGCCCACCTGTGGGGATGTGGATGACCGTTCTGCGAGAGTGAGTGGCAAAAATAATGCAAAGAATTCCTTCCACCCAGACTCATCTGTTAGCCATCTTTTGCCCCATTTGCCTTACCACTTGGTCTCATTTTAGTTTATATATGTGTGCATGTGTTTTTTTTTTTCCAACTGTTTGAGAAGAAGTTGCATACATTCTGGTCCTTCAGGTACACTTTATTGTTTTATAGTCAGGTTTGTCGAGGTATAGTTTGTATCCAGTAAACTTCCCCCTGTGTAGTGTGCGGCGTGACAGACACAGAGAGTCACGGAACCACCCCGCAATCTAGATAGAGGAAATTCATCCCATCACCCCAAAAACTTCGCTGTGCCCCTTTTTTTATTTTATTTTTTTATTTTGTGAGGAGATCAGCCCTGAGCTAACATCTGCCAATCCTCCTCTTTTTTTGCTGAGGAAGACTGGCCCTGCGCTAAAATCCGTGCCCATCTTCCTCCACTTTATATGGGATGCCGCCACAGCATGGCTTGCCAAGCAGTGTGTCACTGTGCGCCCGGGATCCGAACCGGTTAACCCCGGGCCACCGCAGCAGAGCTTGTGCACTTAACCGCTTGCGCCGCCAGGCCGGCCCCACCTCTGTGCCCCTTTATAGTCAGCGCCTCCCCCGTCTCCAGCCCCTGGCAACCACTGATCTGTTTTCTGTCCCTATAACTTGCCTTTTTGAGAATGTCATATAAGTAGGTTTATATGGTATATAGTTTATTCTAAGTGTGTCTGTGTGTGTGTGTATTTTGGATCTGGCTTCTTTCACTTGGCATGATGCATTTAAGATTCATCCACGTTCTCAAGAGTACCAGTGGTTCCTTACTCTTTGTTGCTGAGTAGTAGTCGTGTATGGATGATCTAAGTTTGTTTAGCCAGGCGTCATTTGAAACATTTGGATTGTTTCCAGTTTGGGGCAGAAACTTGGAATTTTTTACCAACTGACATGAGCTCATTTCTTGGGCGCCATGAACCTTGGCCCACATGCCTTTGTGTATCTGCAGGTGGGGCGGTCCTGTTCCATTAAGAGGATGCTTTTGACTTTTGGAAACCTCTGGGATCACTCAGAATCAGTCCTGGTAGGGGAGGTTGGGGGACCCAGCAAGGCCCTGGTCGTTTCGTCTGATGCGAAGGTCCCGGGAACGCTGTCCTTGTTGGTGGAGAGGCCCGGGAAGGGAAGCACAGGAGGCCTGAGAATAGACACGCCCCTGCACGCTCCAGTGCCTTCGAGGCAGCGCTCGCAGCCCAGGGTGGGAGACGGTGGGTAAAGAGATGAGCAGGGAGCTGGGCTGTGTCCTGAGCTGGAGGCCTCGTAGAACATAGTGTGGTCTGAGCGAGGGGTGAGGGAGGCCCGGTCCTGGAACGGGAGGAGGTGTTCTCCATCCGGCCCCCAGGCTGTGAGGTCAGACTCCTACCCAGCACGGGGCGGGAGGCGGAGGCCCGGATTGCAGGGCTGGCTGAGAAGCGGTGGTGCCGAGTGCTGGCAGGACTCGGATTGCTGGGGCTCAGGAGACGGCGGCCGTCTCTCTGGGGGTCAGCGGTACCCTCGCTGAGGCTGTCCTGTGGGTGAGAGCTTCAGTTCGTTCAGTTAATCGTGAATTCATTAAGTGCCCACGGTGTGCTGAGCACCGTGCTTGGTGCTGGTGAATGGCAACCAAGAGGTCACTGCATCCTCGGTCCCCAGAGCTGACGGTCTGATGGAGGAGGGGACGCTGGCTGGGGCTTCCCGCGTGCTGGGTGGTGCAGAGAAGTGCAGCGTGTTCACCACGGCAGACCTCGTCTCGGGAGGCTGGGGAGGCCTGGAGGCCGTCAGGAGGCTGCTGTCGGAGGAGACATGAAGGAAGAGCGGGCGGTGGGTGGGGGAGGTGGCATTGTGAGGGGGCGCGTGGGGTCTCCTGGCAGGGAGCTTGGGAGGCCAGGAGAGTGTGGTGCCGCCTCCTCTGGAGAGGAGGAAGCTGTGGTCAAGTTTGTTCCTGTGTAATGAGGTATAGCCTTGTTAAGTTTTGCCTTTCACCTGAGGGCACTGAGTTGCCGCTGGAAGGATCTAGCAGTGCAGGGGCACGGCCATCTTGGTGACGGAAGGTTGCTCTGCCCTTGTGCAGAGAGTGGTGGGGAGACTAGACAGGTGGCCGGGGCGGGGTCCCGGTCACAGACAGCAGAGGGTGAGGAGGGCAGGTGGGCCACTCAGCAGAGCCAGGCAGCAGCTCCAGACCAGCGTTTGGGTGTGAGGATAAGGAGGAGTTGGGGTTGATACCTCCAGTCCTGGTTTGGGGGTGGGCAGATGGAGGATCCCTCATTCACAGAGCCAAGCTTGGGGCTCGTGGATGAGAAGGCACGTGGAATGAGGTGTGACCAGGTGGTGATGAGACCTGCAGCTCTGGCCAGAGAGATGAGTGTGGGCGCCCCAGCCCAGAGCCGGCAGTAACCCAAGGCATCGGGGTGGACAGGGCCTTGGGGCTTCAGGGCCAGAGAGGGGCGAGGTTGTGCCCAGGGGAGACCCACCGGAGAGGAACACCAAGCGGCAAAGTCGGGTAGTCGGAGCCTTAACTCCCTTAGGCCCTGTGCACCCCCCATCCGCCACCGCTCCCATCCTCCGCTGTCCTGACGTTGACCAGCCGTTCTCTAGAGCCCAGGGGATAGAGAGGGAGATGCGTTTGTTTTCCTTGCTCATTCATCCAACAAACTTGTGGTAGTGCCCAGTTTGTGCCAGGCCCTGTGCTGGGCGCTGGGACTCAGTGAGGAGATAGGATCCAGTCATCAGGCAGATACTGATTACGCGCCAGGATCCGGGAAATGGAGAGGAGGTGCAGGGAGCCCAGGGGCTGTTGAACAGGCTGAGGTTCAAGAGAGGTTCAGGGAGGAGGTGGCAGTGTGCTGGCCCCTAGGAGAGTGGCAGGCGGGAAGTGAAGAGTGAGGGAGGCATGTGCTGGGCGGGGGCCCCAGCCTGAGGCTGCATGCATGGTTGAGGAACGGAAAGGGGCCTGCTTGCAGGGAGGGAAGTGAGCAGAACACGGGGGCGGCGAAGTGGGCAGGGCCTGTGGGCTGTGGCTGCAGCCTGCCCCCCACCGCCTCCCACCGAGAGCAGTGCTCAAAGACACCGGGTTCTGGGCTTCCCCCCAGCACGGCCGGTCTCCGGCAGTGTCTCCCAAACCGCAGCGGGCACGTGTTCAGGTGCGGTTCCCGTTCAGCAGGTCCCCTGTGCTGCTAGTCCGAATGCAGACCGCACCTTGAGTTGCAGAGCTCTGAGGGGCAAGTGTTTTCCACTGATCAGTGTTCTAAGTTTTCCATCCACCTCGAAGCTACATTCTTCTTGGACCCTGCTGTCCCTGGGTCCAGATCCCGTTGCTGATGGTAGGGAGAGAGAAAAGCCAAGAACTGCCTGACACCTGCCAGGAGGTCCCGCCTCCGCCGCCCGCAGCCCCGCCGTCCCTGGGCGGAGGAGTGGTCCTGAGCAGTGCTGAGGCCAAGATACCGGGGATGGGCCAGCTCAGAGCCCATGTTAGGAGCCTCGGAGGCAGCTGTGCCAGGGTCCCCAAGACCCCCGGGCCCAGGCTCGGTGATTTGCTGGGGGGTTCCCGGGACCAAGCATGTAGTCACACTCATGGCCAAGATTTTACTGCAGTGAAAGGACACAGCACAGTCACCCAGGGGCTGAAACTGTCCTGCTCTCGTGGAGCTGACAGTCGTTGGGCGAGCCAGGGATAAACAAGGAGACAACTAAATAGACATCTTACAAAGCTTGGGCAGCGCTCTGAAGGGAGCTCACAGTGTTCCAGTAGTGAATGTAGGAGACCAGGACAGTCACTAGGAGCTGACCTTTAATAAGAGACCCTGGGGGACACGGAGCTGCACAGTGACAAGAGGGGAAAGCAAACACCAGGGAGAAGCCTGGGCCGAGCCAGGGCCCTGCAGGGGAGAGCTTGGCTGTGCTTATAGAGTCGCGGAGTCTGGGGTGCCGTGGAAGGAAATGAAGGCGCCACGGTGCCGCACAGGCCTCCCCAGATACCCAGCCTGCCGTGCGGCCCTGTGGGCCATGGCGAGGAGTGGGGTTTGATTGCAGGTGCAATGAGAGGCCCTTAAAATCCAAACAGGACAGTGGAATATCAGTCAGCCATAAGATAGATGAGCCAGGCTGCAACATGGATGAACCAGGAAAACATAAGCTGAGTGAAAGAAGCTGGCCACAAAAGGCCACATATTGTGTGATTCCGTTTATATGAAACGTCCAGAACAGACGAATCTATGCAGACAGGGAGTAGATGAGTGGTTGCCAGGGCCTGGGGGGAGGGGGAATGGGGAGTGACTGCTTAATGGGTATGGGGTCTTCTTTTGGGGTGACTGCAAAGTTCTAGAACTAGAGATAGTGGTTGTACAACATCGTGAAGGTACTTAAAGCCATTGGATTGTACACTCTGAAATGGTAAAATAGTGCGTTTTATATTTATGCAAAACAGGAGTGTCTCCACGCTCCCAGCTGGTAACAGAGAGTGGATGGTGCGGGATGATGGTTTTTGTGCCAAAGAGGCTTCGTGGTCGTAGGCCTTACGCTGGAAGGGCCGCAGGGGCCTTGTGTTGTAGAGTTTTCCTCAGAAAGTTGAGCTCTCTACACCGGGGGTCCATAACCACCTGCGTCCCACCCTGCCCCGCCCTGACCTGACTGCTGCCTCCTGTTCTGCTCCCCGCAGATGTTGGCGGATGACGCGGAGGCAGGCGCCGAGGACGAGAAGGAGGTGGAGGAACTGAAGAAGCAGGGCATCAACCCCCTGCCCAAACCGCCCCCCGGCGTGGGCCTCCTGCCCACCCCCCCTCGTCCCCCGGGCCCCCCGGCCCCGACCTCTCCAAACGGCAGGCCCATGCAGGGCGGGCCCCCGCCCCCACCCCCGCCCCCGCCCCCTGGGCCCCCTCAGATGCCCATGCCCGTGCACGAGCCGCTGTCCCCACAGCAGCTGCAGCAGCAGCAGGACATGTACAACAAGAAGATCCCCTCCTTGTTTGAGATCGTGGTGCGGCCCACAGGACAGCTGGCGGAGAAGCTGGGCGTGAGGTGAGTCCTGGGCTCCCCGAGTCAGGTTGCTCTGAGCCGGGGCCTGTCACTGTGAGCCTCTCTCTCTCCAGAGCTGTTGGAGCCCTGGTCTGGAGCCTCCATGGCTCTTCGGGGGGGTGGCCCCACCTTTCCTCTGCAGCCCCTCTCACTGGCCCTATTTCCTCCTCTTCCTAGGTTTCCTGGACCCGGAGGACCCTCTGGGCCAATGGGCCCCGGGCCCAACATGGGACCCCCAGGGCCAATGGGGGGCCCGATGCACCCTGACATGCATCCTGACATGCATCCGGACATGCACCCCGACATGCACCCAGACATGCACCCCGACATGCCGATGGGCCCCGGCATGAACCCTGGCCCGCCCATGGGACCCGGCGGTCCCCCAATGATGCCCTATGGTCCCGGAGACTCCCCACATTCTGGAATGATGCCCCCCATCCCGCCAGCCCAGAACTTCTATGAAAACTTTTACCAGCAGCAGGAGGGCATGGAAATGGAGCCGGGACTCGTCGGAGACGCAGGTATGCGGGGCTCGGGCTGGGGGCTGGGTGGGCTGCGGGGTTCTGCACAGCAGAACGCAGTCGGGAAGGGGTGATTTTTCTTCCGTGGTCCAAGTCTTTGAAAGCATGAATCCACCTCCATCTCTGTCCCGTGAGTGGTTGCACGTTTCCGTGACGTGAGATTCATGCCCCTGTTCAGTCTGAAAGGAGTACTGTGGTTATTATCACTGTGTTTAATTTCGTGTAAATTTTGCTTGGTGTACCTGGAATCAGGAGCCTGGGAAATTAGAGGGGCAGGTGGGATGATGTTGGGCTGTGAGGCCGAAGTGCCCTTGCCAGAGTGTCCTTCTTCCAGACACTTATTGGCTTGGCGCTGCCAGTATCAACCTCGTGACTCTGCTTGTTCTGTCCCCACAACTGCCCATCTTCCTTCCTCTTTTCCTTCCTTTCCTGTTAAAACAAAAACATGTATTGGTGAAAAGCTGAATGTCCAACAGTCAGGGTGGTTAGGCGACGGCACTGCGGCCATAGGAGATAGCGGGCAGCCTTCAGAAAGGTTAGGTGTGCGCACTGCTGCCAGGGGCCAGAGCAAGTGAGGCAGCCCACTCCCGTTGCCTTAGCTGCATTTTAGTGGAGGGAAACAGACAGGAACCGTGTAAATAAGTGCATAAGCCCCTTCCAGCGTTGATCATTGCTAGAAGTACAGTGGGGTGCTGTGGGAGAGTCACAGGGTGGAGGCGGGCTGGGAGGGTCTGTGCCGTGGTGGGGACAGTCAGTAGAGGCCTCTCTGAGGAGTGAGTCTGAGTTGGGACATGAAGGTCCCCTAGGTGGAAGGCACAGCAAGTGCAGAGGCCCCTGTCAGCTTGTTTGAGAAGAGCACAGGTGGCCGTGTAGCCTGGAAAGGGAGGACAGGAAGTCCCAGCGCGCAGGACTTTGACGGCCACAGTGAGGTGGCCTCTGTGGGAGAAGGGTGGGGATAAGTGGAGGAATGCAAGGGCGGTGGATGGTAGGGGCCGGGTGGAGTTGGGAGGCTTCTGGGCTGCTATGGAGTCGTCCTGGGCAGAGGTGAGCAGAGTGGCAGACAGGAGGTGGCAGGGAGCAGCAGGGCTCGGGCTTTGTGGTTTGGAGACGAGCCACCGGGTCGGTGTGACTCTTCGTACGTGCGTTACAAGGTGGGAGGAGCAGAGAGGGGCATGGGCCGTGGGGCGGAGTCACTTGGTCCCTGACATCGGGAGGTCCTGCTGGAGAGACCCGGCCACGTGAAGCCTGAGTTGCCCATTGGACAGCCGTGCAGAAATTGTGAAGGGATCAGGGAGACGACCTTGGTGCCTAGATGGCCTTCAGTGCCCTGAGAGCAGTTGTCTGGGGCGAGGAGCAGGGGCTTTAGAGAGATGAGTGATGTGTTCTCAAGTGAGGGAAGCAGGCTGCCTGAGGGGGGCGCTGTGGTTCCCATGGTCCCCTCTCCTTTGAAAAAATAAATGTATATAAAGTGTGCGCAGAACAAGGTCTGGGTGGGGAAGAAAACCAAGTGGGTCAAGCTGTTAGCAGTAGGTATCTCTAGAGGAATTCGATTTTTAGAAAAAATTGAGGCGTAATTCCCATGTCATGAGATCTGCCCTTTGAAGGGTGCCGTTCCTTGGTTTTTAGTGTATTCACAATTGTACTACCATCGAGTAATTCAGTCTTGACAATACATTCCATGCAGGGGGACTGGGACTGTTGTTCGTGGAGTGTCCCCAGCTCCAAGCCGGAGTGTGGCGTAGAGCAGGCTCGCCCATCAAGTTCACATGTTATGAAGTTCAGGGGCTAGAAGGAGACCACCTTTCACTCTTTGCTTTGTGTGCTTTGTGTGTGAAATATTTGCAGATTTAATCATTTTATCCTGTCAGTTTATTTTTATTTTATTTATTTTTTTATATATAAATAGAATGTTTTATTTAAATCTTTGTGCTTTCCTAAAAGATTGTGGTAACATTGGTTTATAACATGATATAAATTTCAGGTGTGTACATCATTATATTTTGATTTCTGTATAGACTACATCATGTTCACCACCCAAAGATTAATTACAATCCATCACCACACACGTGTGCTAATCGTCCGTTTTGCTCCCCTCCCTCCCCCCTTCCCCTCTGGTAACCACCAATCCAGTCTCTGTCTCTATGTGATTGTTGTTGTTTTTGTCTTCTACTTGAGTGAGATCATACGGCATTTGACTTTCTCCCTCTGACTTATTTCGCTCAGCACAACACCCTCAATGTCCATCCATGTTGTCACAAATGGCTGGATTTCATCGTTTCTTATGGCTGAGTAGTATTCCATTGTGTATATATACCACATCTTCTTTATCCATTCATCCCTTGTTGGGCACCTCGGTTGCTTCCAAGTCTTGGCTGTTGTGAATAACGCTGCAAGGAACACAGGGGTGCATGTATCTTTATGCATTGGTGTTTTCCTGTTCACTGGATAAATACCCAGCAGTGGAATAGCTGGATCGTGTGGTAGTTCTATCCTTAATTTTTTGGAGAATCTCCATACTGTTTTCCATAGTGGCTGCACCAGTTTGCACTCCCACCAGCAGTGTATGAGAGTTCCCTTCTCTCCACATCCTCCCCAACACTTGTTGTTTCCTGTCTTGTTAAATTATAGCCATTCTGATGGGCGTGACTTTCAGTTTAATTTGTGTGTGTGTGTGTGTGTGTGTGTGTGTGAGGAAGATTAGCCCTGAGCTAACATCCTCACTGTCGCCAATCCTCCTCTTTTTTTTTTTCACTGAGGAAGACTGGCCCTGGGCTAACATCTATGCCCATCTTCCTCTACTTTATATGGGACGCCACCACAGCATGGCTTGACAAGTGGTGCATTGGTGTGCGCCCGGGATCCGAACCTGTGAACCCTGGGCCGCCACAGTGGAGTGCGTGCACTTAACCACTACACCACCGGGCTGGCCCCTGTCAGTTTAATTTAAGTTGTAGATTTGTGTTCTTGGTAGCACTGCCCACATTGCAAATGCCCAGTAGCCCCATGAGGATAGTGGTGGTCATATTGCACAGTGCCGATATGGAACATTTCATCATTGCAGAATGTTCTGTGGGGCAGCGCAAACTAGTTTGTCTCCGACACATGCACGCACGCACGCACGCCTCTAGATGCGTCGTCCCACACCTGCTCGTGTGCTCCCCAATCCTTGGCTCTCACGTGGGTGGAGTTTGTGGAGCCAGGCGCCTGCCCGCCCTTCAAGAGTGAAGGCAGACCGTTCATTCAGCCTTGTGCTTCCTGGGTGCTGTGTGGGAGAAACACACGGCCGCCCCCTGAAATGCGCCAGCATGCTTATAAACGTGTGGAGACGGCCCCATGAACGAGGAGGAGGAGGGATCGCCCGTGAGCCTCTGGGTTGACATGTGGCCATAGCAACATTTTGGTGTATTTCCTTCTCTTTGCTAGTCTGTTCACCATGGTGGAGCTCATCTTATGAACTCACTACGACATACAGTGTTTTTCTTTATTGATTATTACAAAGAAACCGTAAAATTAATGCTCATTGCAAACAATTAAAATAGGTCAGGAGTGTGTGGAGTAAAAAGTGAAAGATCCCTTGGCCCCCTCCTCCCAAATCTCATTCTCAGGGGGCCTGTTTTCTGTCTGTCTCTTCAAAGCCCTTTCCTTGTGTTGTATAAATATCCACACAGTGTCCTGTTTCCATGTCATGAGCATTCGCCCATGTCACTGAACCTCGCTGTGAGCCCCATTCTCAATGGGCGCATCCTGGGTGGGAACACCCCAGTTGCTGCTCTGTTCCCTGCTGTTGGGCTTTCCGTGGGGACCCTCCTGGGGAGGGTAGGAAGGGACGGGCCACGCCTCCTCACCATCGCCATCGGGGGGGCGGTTTTGCAGTTCAGGGCACGGTTGGGCTGGAGTTGGTGCAACGTGGCCCTTCCCGACATGAACCCTCGGTTCTTCCCTGCCACAGAGGACTACGGGCACTACGAAGAGCTGCCGGGGGAGCCTGGGGAGCACCTCTTCCCCGAGCACCCTCTGGAGCCTGACAGCTTCTCTGAGGGAGGGCCCCCAGGCCGGCCGAAGCCGGGCGCCGGTGTCCCCGACTTCCTGCCCTCGGCCCAGAGGGCCCTGTACCTGAGGATCCAGCAGAAGCAGCAGGAGGAGGAGGAGAGAGCAAGGAGGCTGGCTGAGAGCAGCAAGCAGGACCGAGAGAATGAGGAAGGCACGTGTCCTCCCCAGGGGCCGGGGCTTTCCCTGAGGGGCGCCCCCCCACCCCGGCCACTGTGCAGGGGAGAGGTGGGGAACGCCTAGGTTGGGTTTCACGTCAGAAAGGAGCCTGTGGCCAGAGAGGACCTCTGCCCGGGCCTGTGAAGCCAGGCTGGGGCTGCTGCATGTCCCTGAGAAAATTGGAAGTGAGGGCTGCCCTTCTGTGTCTTGGGGGTCGGGAGAGACCCTGATCCCATCGAGGAGGCAGGTGGACTGGTCCCTGAGGGAGATAGTGGCCGACAGGATTTCCCCCTGTGCCCTTACAGAGGAGTCTGTAGGGAGACGCTCACAGCCCCCCTTTCCCCAGACCACATTCTCAGGAAGCCAAGGAGAGCTAGTCGTTGACATAAACCAGTGATAATCACTGCCAGGTCGCGTGGCATCCACCCTGGGTGAAGCAGGCGGACAGATGGTGTCTGGAACCTGGAGCCAGTGGCCACGGGGGGTCCTGAAAGGAGCCTGGGGGCAAGTGGGGATGGTTGGAAGAGGGGGCAGCCCTCTCCCCTGTGGCTCCGGCTTCACCTGCGAGAAGGTTGGACTTGGGCCAGTTTCTGAGTCTGCCCACCTGGCCCCGCCTCTTAACCAGCCGGTGACTGCTGGGCAACGTTGGGAGGGGCCTGGGGGCCAGTGTTTGAGCCCCAGCACAGAGAGCCGAGTCAGGGGCAGCTGCTTGCAGGCGCCCAGAGCTGGGTCTGCCATGTGGGGGCCTGGGCCTGCCCTGGAGGGGAGGAGGGGCAGCAGAGCCCTGGGCCAGGAGTCTGAGCTCAGTCTCCCAATCTCACGGCACTGTCCCTGCTTCCGCTTCCTCCTCTGTCAGATGGGCATGATAACACCAGCTCTTGGGTGGTCATGAGAATTAATAGGATAGAACACATAGAACAGTGCTGGCACACGGAGAAGGCTCCATAAACGTTAGCCGGCGACCTGCCAGGCTTGGGGCTGGCTGCCCGGGCTCCCTGGCTCTTCGTGGCGGCCCTCAGGGGGAGGGGTTCTTAACAGGAGAAACTGAGGTTCTGAGAGGTAAGAGGCAGAGGAGCCATTTACCCACCGAGGGGGCTGCTGTGGGATGTGGTGGTCACTCACCCGCCCCCTGATCTTCTCTGCTTTTTCTCAGGTGACACTGGAAACTGGTACTCGAGTGACGAGGACGAAGGTGGGAGCAGCGTCACCTCCATCCTCAAGACCCTGAGGCAGCAGACGTCTAGCCGACCCCAGGTGTCCCTGGGAGACCTGAACAACAGCGGGCTTGGGGACCCCCGCCTTCAGAAGGGACACCCCACGGGAGGCCGGCTGGCTGACCCCCGCCTCAGCCGGGACCCTAGACTCACCCGCCACGCAGAGGCTTCTGGTGGTTCGGGCCCAGGTGACACTGGGCTCTCTGACCCTCGTCTGGCTCGCTCCCTGCCCACCTCCAAGCCCGAAGGCAGCCTTCATTCCAGCCCCGCAGGCCCTAGCGGCTCCAAGGGGTCTGGGCCACCCCCTACAGAAGAAGAGGAAGGGGAACGGGCCCTGCGGGAGAAGGCCGTAAACATTCCCCTGGACCCCCTCCCCGGGCACCCGCTTCGGGACCCGAGATCGCAGCTGCAGCAGTTCAGCCACATCAAGAAGGATGTGACCCTGAGCAAGCCGAGCTTCGCCCGCACTGTGCTCTGGAACCCTGAGGACCTGATCCCCCTGCCCATCCCCAAGCAGGACTCGGTGCCCCCTGTCCCCGCCGCCCTGCAGTCCATGCCTGCCCTGGATCCCAGGCTGCACCGGGCCACCACCACAGGACCCCCCAACCCCCGGCCGCGCCCCGGCACCTCCACAGACCCTGGCACATCTGGCTCCACCCTGCCTGACTTTGAGCTCCTCTCCCGAATCCTCAAGACTGTCAATGCCACCGGCCCTTCGGCGGCCCCCAGCCCCAGCGACAAGCCCAGTGACCCCCGGGTGCGGAAGGCCCCTACCGACCCTCGGCTGCAGAAACCAGCAGACTCTGCTGCCGCCTCCCGGGCTGCCAAGCCTGGCCCCACCGAAGCGCCCTGTCCTTCTGCCAGCCCCAGTGGGGAGTCCTCGCCCCCAGCCACCGCCCCCTACGACCCCCGCGTGTTGGCGGCCGGGGGGCTGGGCCAGGGCAGCGCAAGCGGGCAGAGCAGCGTGCTGAGCGGCATCAGCCTCTACGACCCCAGGACTCCCCATGCGGGTGGCAAAGCCTCGGAGCCGGCTGCCGACTCGGGTGCCCAGCCCAAGGGCCCTGAGGGCAACGGCAGGAGCTCGGCCGCCAAGGCCAAGGAGCCCCCGTTCGTCCGCAGGTCAGCCCTGGAACAGCCCGAGGCGGGGAAGGCCGGCGCCGACGGGGGCACGGCCGCGGCCACGGACAGATACAACAGTTACAACCGGCCCCGGCCCAAGGCCGCCGCAGCCCCCGCCGCCGCGGGCACCCCGCCCCCGGAAGGCGCCGCGCCCCAGCCCGGGGTGCACAACCTGCCCGTGCCCACCCTCTTCGGGACCGTGAAACAGGCGCCCAAGACGGGCTCCGGAAGTCCGTTCGCTGGCAACAGCCCAGCCCGCGAGGGCGAGCAGGACGCGGGGTCCCTGAAAGATGTGTTTAAAGGCTTCGACCCCACGGCCTCCCCCTTCTGCCAGTAGTGTTAGCTGGAGCCGGGCGCTCCCCGCACCCACCCTTCTGGGGTTATATTTAAGGGCGGCGACCAGAGTTGGGAACTGGGGCGGGGGCCTCTGGGTGTTCTTTCTTTTATTTTTACCTTTCTTTCTCTCTGTCTCTCTTTTTTTTTAAGTAGTACTTTCTTTGACACATAAATTGTATATAACCATCTTCAGTTCTGGTCAGTGCTGCGGGGCCCCCGGGCCCCCGCCGAGAAGACTCCTGTGCACGTGAACAGTGTGAAGCCCTTGGGCCTCGGCCCCAGCTGGCACTCCGCCTGGCCAGGCCCGATTTTCAGGGACTCCCTGAAAGCTGGGGCCCCAGTCTGGTGGCTGGGGGTCCGGTGGGTTTTCTAGGCAAAGCTGGGCCCCTCCTGCTCCCCCCGCCCCCCAAGGACAAAGAGAACAGTAGGCATCCGGGAGGCCTGCTGAAGGCTGCTCGCCGTGTTGCCTGAGCAAGGAGAGGTGGAGCCAAGACGGTGGGCAGGACCCGCGTGGCAGCAGGTCCAGGCCCTTCTAGAAGCCTGTCTTCTGCAGTGCTCAGGCTGTGATGACCAGCTTCCGGGGGCCAGTGGACGTGGAAAAGTATGGAAGAAAGAAAGAGGAAAGGAGCCCTTGGGAGCTGCCTGGGCTGGAAGAAAAGCCCTTTCCCACTGCTGTCTCCCGTGTGGATTCACACCCGGGCCTCCCGCCGTCCTCCGTCCAGAGTTCATCCTGAAACCCGCACCCTCCAGCCCACGTCAGGTGACTCCAGGGTGAGAGATGGACCTGGAGGTGGCAGGGCTGGTGTGGGCGCGTCCCCCAAGAGCTGCCTCCAAGAGGCAGACCGTGTGTTCTCTGTCAGTATTAGCTCCTGTCCTGTCCTGTCGCGGCCACGCCCTCCTCCCCTCACGCCGGGGCCTGTCCTGGTCCTCAGAAGTCAGAGTGCCCAGTGTGCCGGCCCCGGCCCCTGTGGGGACAGCTCAAGGATCCGTGGTGTGGCCGCTCCGCCAGGCCCCCTCTGTCGGGAGCTCTGGGTGGTTCCTGGCAAAGTGTCTCCGCTCTCTCTGCACCTCCTCGCGAGGAATCTTTAGGGCTTATGGTTTTGGTGTGAGGGTTTTTTTCTTAGAAGCCGACTGGTGTATGGGTTCAGAGATGTGTCACTGTGTTGGATATGTGGACACTTCCAGAATGGGGCCTGGGGAAAGGGCGGGAGACTAGCCGCGGCAGGGTGGCGGGTTGGTGGGCTCTCTCCAGGAGAGGGACCAGGACCCCCTCGGGGAGGGTGGGGTGTGGAACCGAAACCTACATCCTGCTCCCCTTCTCGGGCTGAGCTGGCAGGAGACCAGAGGCTTCTGGCCCTGGGCTCCCCGCACCGCCCCCAGGACCCTGGCTGAGGTCCAGCTTGCCCACAGCTGCAGAGCAGGCCCACCCTGTGGGCGTGGCTGTCACCAGGGTCCTTCCCACCTGTGTGTCAGGACTTGCCGGCTGTCTCCTGCCTTTTCCTCCTTGTCGCACCGCCTCACTTAAGGCCCCTGTCTGTTCCTTGCTAATGATGCGGAAACCTGGTGACCAGCCAGCCACAGGGTTCCCCACTCACCTCCTGGGGGTGGGAGGCGAACGAGGCTCGTATTCCAAACCCCCTTCCCTGGAAAACAAATAGTCCTTAAGTTTGGGGCCATAGTAAGAGTGGGAGAGGCAGCCCCACAGCCACAGGGTCAGCACCCGTGATCAGGTCGGTTTGGTTTGTCTTTGTGTCTTTTTTGTTTTGTTTTTTTAAACAATCATTAGTGAGATTTTCCGTCAGCCACCAGTGTTGGCCTTGAAGCAGAGGGCCGCAGCCCTTGGTGTTGGTAAAATAAGAATACACAGTGTGGCTGTGTTTTTTTGTTTTTGTTTTTCCCTCCTTTGAGAATTTTCTTTTGTAAAAGCAGAATTAAATACTTTTTTTAAACCGAAATCTGTGGATGAAATAGAAGCTGGAGCCCTCCTCTTGGAAATTCAGCCTAAGAACCTCATGGGACTATGAATTCACCCGAAATTTTCATTTGCCATCAGGCCGAGCTTTTAAAGAAAAATTGTTCTCTAACCAGGATTGTAACAAAAGTGTAAATACTATTTCCGAGTTGAAAGTTGATGGTGCAAATATGTATATAACGTACTGTATTTTTACAATGATCGTCGCATGACTCTCTTCCACCCCCCTTTTTGTACTCCATATCTGTCTTCCAGAAGCATCACCTGACCTTTCTCCTGTGGTCTCTTAATCCAATAATTGTATTACTGCCATTAAAGGATGCAGTTATTTTAAAAAGCCTGTGGGTCTCGTCCCTCCCTGCTGACCCCGCCGTCCCTTGCCCCGGGAATAACAAGGAGGGTAGGAGGCGACCTGGGTGGACTGGGGGTGACACCTGGATCTGCTCTCGTGGTGGCCAGCCCCAGGGTGACATCCGTGATGACGCTGTGGGACTGGTGCCTTCCTTAGCAGTTGGCGACTGTGTCCCACGGTTCCGGTATCAGATACAGTGCTGACACACACAGGCATGTTCCTGCCCCCCCAGGGCTCACGGAAGAGGCCAGTGATGAACACAGGACAACTGGGCTGGCTGCTGGGCATGAGGAGAAACGGGAGCCCTAACTACCATTGACTGAATGTTGTCCCCCCTCTAAATTTGTATGTTGAAACTTGTTCCCCCAGTGTGATGGTGTTAGGAGGTGGGGCCCTTGGGAGGTGATGCGGTCAGGAGGAGGGAGCCCTCCTGAAGGGGATTAGTGCCCTCGTAAGAGAGGGCCCACAGAGCAACTTGCCCCTTCCCCCACGTGAGGACGCAGCTGGGAGACGGCAGTCTATGACCGGGGAGGTGGACCCTCACCAGACTGAATCAGCTGGCGCCTTGATCTTCGACTCTCAGCCTTCAGAACTGGGGTGTTTTGTTATAGCGGCCCAAATGTATGGACTCAAATGCTACCCACTTGTTACCTGGGGGTCTTCTCTGAGGAAGCCACACCCAGTGAGGGTGTGAGGGTTGAGCAGGACTTGGTCAGAGAGTAGCCACGTTTCTTTGGACTTATTTTGGCTGCTGTGTTTTAATGGGCCTCTATTAGTGTTCCATGGCTGCCTTATAATTATACAAATTTAGTGGCTTAAAACAAATTTGTTATCTTATAGTTCTGGAGGTCGGAGGTGTGACATGGGTCTCACTGGGCTAAAATCAAGCTGTTGCCAGGTCTGCATTCCTTTCCAGAATAGGGAGATTTTCTTTCCTCGCCTTTTTCGCCTTCTAGAGGCCACTTGCATTCCTTGCCTCGTGGCTGCTTCCTCTGTCTTCAAAGCCAGCAATGTCACATCTCTCTGACCCTTCCTCCAGGGTCACATTTCTCTGACCCTTTCTCCAGAGTAACATCTCTCTGACCCTTCCTCCAGGGTCACATCTCTCTCTGACCACAGCTGGGAACGGGTCTCTGCTTTCAAGACTCATGTGATTAGGTTGCGTAATCCAGGATCATCTCTGCGTCCCAAGATCCTTATTCACATCTGCAAAGTCCCCTTTGCCAGATAAACTATGTACTCACTGGTTCTGGGGATTAAAACATGGACATCCTTGGGGGGCCGTTCTGCCCTTTAATTGAGATCCCCAAGTATTTCTCAAGAGAAGACTTCTCATTGCTCTTATGCTGGTGGCTGGTCTGAGCAGGTAAGCTCTGGTTTCATGTCAGTAATTCAAAGTGCAATCTTTGAATTTCTTCTAATTCATCCACATTAAGGATGATTTCGCCTGTAACTCAAAACTTTGTGCAACTCAGCTGGCTTCAACAGCCAGGGGCCCGTCGTCTCAGGTAAGAATGTCTGCAGGGTGGTTGTGGGGTTAGTAAAACTGGAGTGAGCCCCAGACTCGCCCAGGTCCAGGCTGTCTCCACACTGCCCGTCCTGGCACGCCGCGAGCTCCCCCGAGATCACCAGATGGCTAGAGCGGCTTCCAGCCTTCGCCTCCCGCCCCAGCTGTGGGCAGAAGCAGAAGAAGAACTGTCCCCTTGTTTCCCTTCCTGAGCAAGGAGACACTTCCAGAAGCCCCCAGCAGACTTCTTTCAGGGCTCCTTGGCCAGGGGGGCATTGTGTGTCCCTCCCTACGCTGGTCCCTGGCAAGAGGGGATAGAAGTCTCACGTTTAGTTCTCGGACTAATGGAAGATCCAGCCTCCCAGGGCGGAGCATGAGGCCACTTGAAGGGTGAACATGCAAACCCCCGCAGGGCTCGGCCGGGGCAGGAGGGTGCAGGGACGGGTAGCCACGGCGACGGGACAGCCAGCATTCAGGCGGGTGGAGGATGACCTGCTGGCTGGCGCGAGGCCTGTGCGGGGAAGGAAGACACAGCCCCTGGAGCTTGGCAGGTTGGCAGGTCCCGGAGAGCCATGAGACAGATACAGGCAGGAAGGGTTTGAAGAGTTTATTCAAGTAGGAGAGTGACCAGGTCATCAGACTGCAGTCCAGAACCTTCATTCTGGCAGGGGAGATGTAGAAGATGGATTGGCCAGGGCAAGAGGAGGGGGCAGGGAGCCTGGTGGGATGACAAAGCAAGAAAAGCAAGGGGGCTGGGGAGCAGATGGACTCGGGACTTAGGGCGCAGAGCAGATGGGAGCCGGTAACCCGGTTAAATGCAGCAGGTGACAGGAGGGTCAGAGGATGTCTGAGGCAGCCGGGTGGGCGGTTCCCTTGCTGCGACGGCACATGGCGGGAGGAGGAGATGGTGGTCCGGGAAGGGGCTGGGTGCAGCTTTGGGCCTGGAGCTCCGGGCTGCAGGCTGAGTGAGGAAGGGCCCTCCATAGAGCTGGTCATTGAAGCTGCAGGAACGGGTGACGTCACTCAGGAAGCACATGGAGCCCTGGGGAGCATCCCTATTGGAGGAAGAGATAGAGGCTGCGACGGGACAGCAGTGGCCAGCGGCCCTCAGCAGGTGAGTGAGGCCAAGAGCCGTATAGAGCCTTCCACGGTCCAAGATTTCTGGGAGGTTGGGACTGGCGACCACCTGCCCTGACCCACTGCCTCATTCTAGGAGTCACATCTTACTGTACTTGCTTCATCGTACCCTCAGCCACCTGCCCGTCCTTCTGTCCACCCCCCCCATCATGTTTTTGGATGCATTTCAAAATAAATTCCAGACCTCATCACATATCCCCCCACAATCCTCCAGTGTGTGTCTCATTAACCAGAATTCAATAGTCATTTACATTCCTCTCTTTTTTTTGGTGGAATTTCCATAGTGTGAAATGCACAAATCTCACACGTACAGTCGTTGAGTTTTGAGAAATGCATCGATCTGTGTGACCCAAACCCCACTCAACATAGAGAACTGCAGGTTCCCTGGTGTCCCTTCCCAGCCAGTCCCTGCTGTCACCCACCCGGGGGCCACCACTCTTCTGAGTTTT